ACAGACAGTCACCCGGATTTCAACTCGTCTCTTCATCCTGATCATTTATATATATATAACCCTATATCTAACTCAATTAATTTTAGGTGATACAAACAACCGTTAGGTGAACAAAACTATTATACTCTGTAGCAACAGGTTGCGAGAGTATAATAAAACGATTAGGTTTAAGGTTCCATCAATAACTGCTGGTTATTCTTTATTTCCACTTTCTTATATACTATTATTTTGTTGATAAAGATAAATGTTTGTACAATAATTCTTAAGAAATTTGTCTGGTGCGTTTACAAAAAGTGTAACAATTCGCTAATGTTGCATTTTCGTTAGCGGAAATGCACTTGAAAATAATGTTATTAAAGTTCTTTGGAATTAATGCACTAGGGCAAATAAGTAATAAAATTATTTGGAATTAACGATACATTTTTTGTTAACAGTTGCATTTTCGTTAGCGGAAATGCACTTGGACAACAATTCTTTGTAAAGTACAATTTATAGATATATTTTATAATTCTTTGCGAAAATACAATTAATAATATTCTTAATGAGTTAAAATTGTGTATGTATGTGTGTATGGTCAAAGTAACGTTAAGGGAACAGTGGAAGACACTATAACAATGCAGCAAGCCACAAGCGGATAAGAGGGATTGGAGGAGTGATACTTAACCGCGGTTTACTGTTTACATAAATCAGAGAAATATTGAATATTTTCTTTAGAAAGTTTATTGAATTGTAAATCGACAAATATGCTATGTTGTCACTTTTATTCTAAAATATTTTAATACTCATATTTGCGGGGTTGTCACTTTTCTCTTCTAGAGGGAATATCAGAAATTTGTTCAATTTATGACTTTTAGCTTTTGCCATCTTCGTGAAAAGACGCTTGTAGGTAAAAGCATGCTCGGGGGGATGTGAGGGTATCTGTTTTTATGAATGAAGCGAGGTTGCTTGTCGAAAGTACGCCTGCGTTCATGAATGAAAATGTTGTTGTTGTGTGATTTACTATATATTTTGGCTTCGGCTATTTGGCTGACATATTGACTTGTGGCGATTGTTGTTTTTGTAGAATAATGTTTGTAGTTTTTGCAGGTGACATATTTACATGTGTACGGATATTCATATGTATGTAGGTTGGTTTGTGTATGCATTATTTGTTGGCAATGTTTTATAATATATACATACATACATATATATGTTGACATATAAATCAATGTGCGCACATATAGCAGAGAATATTAATATATTAGGATTTATATATTTATTAACATTCTCTGCATATAGTGTATTGATAAGTGATAAATTATGATTTGAATTTCTGAATGCGTACATTCAAATGCGCATGTTCAGATAAATGTACATATGACTATATAAGATTAATATGATAAAAGATATAAAATTATATAAGAATGCATATTATGTAAAAACTATATAATATTATTAAATGCCCAAATTGACTAAAAATATATATTATTTCGAAATTCCATAATTTAATAGATCTTATCAGTTTTGCATGCATTCATAAAAATTCGCAAAATGATATTCATATCAATAAATATGATTGCATATAAACGTATAAAAATATATATAAGGCAAAACGCTAACATGCAGCTGTAATATCAAAGCAAGTCTCTGAGCATAATTTTCATTGAATTCTCAGCTCTGTTCACTCGCTACTGTTAAAATTTCTCCTTCCGAGCCAGATTTGGTGAAATTCAGTAATAAAATCTTGTTAGGTTTTGACAATTCACACGCTGGTCCGCAATTGAACCTTCTCTATAATATATGTACGTTCTCTGATAATGGCAAGGATGACATGATGCAAGACTCTCTCATTTTCGCTGATTTTTCTGTTATTCTCTTTCCCTGAATGACCAACTCTTTCCAGTGTGAGAGCGTCTCAAAATTAGCGTTTTTCATAACATTTTCCGTTGTAACCAAATCGGACAAAATAATAATTTTTGGCCAATTAAATTAAAATACCCAAAATTTATTAAGATGAAATATTTTATACATATATCCATTAAACATATGGAAAAACTATTTCAATCCATTTGTGTGATTTTGTGATACATTAAAAAAACTGATTTTTGGACTTTCAATACTTAAAAAGTGGAAAAATGTCTTAACTCTCAATTAGTAAACGTTTTCTATCATTTTTAGTTGAAAATTAATATTGCGAAGCATGGCATCACAAAAGATTTCATCACATACATTTCGATTTCGGGTTTTCTTTCATTTTCATTGTTATTTTATTTTTGTTAGTGATCTCCAACAGCAGCAATAAATCTCTCTGTTCACATTTTTTTTGGTAGGATTTCAATCTGTAAACGTCAGACCTTCTGAACTTTGACAGTTGCTTGAGTTAAGGTTTTGAACTTCAAATTCTTCAAATTTTTGCATGAAATTAATAATTCAATGGAACGATTGAATCAAAAGAAAGATATGAGTTGAGAAAGGCCATTTCGTTGTACGAAATATGTTTTTGAGTATATTCAAAATCCAGATTTTTTACTTTTGATATCAAATAATTATAATCAGAATATCTAACAATTAAATGCAGAGTCGTTTGCGCATTGTAAATTAACGAATTAGTATGCGTACATTCCTTAACACTGGGATTGGCATTATTTTTCTAATTCAAGCGAGTCCGCTGATGTTAAGCTGTGGTGAAATACGCTCATCATTTTCAGTATCTGCTAAAAGAGGAATATTTTTACAATCCGCAGATCATGGATTCGCTTTATATACGTTCTATATACCTAGTTTGGCCATTTAAGTAGTAATATATATATATATTATATATACTCGCCTGCATATGTACTGGTGAAAAATTTAAGATTTATTAGTTGTAGGTTTATGCAATACTTGCCTACAAGCTCTTTTTATCGACGATGGCAAACGCCAAAAATCATAATTTGAACAACTTTCTGATACTTCTTCCAGAACGGAAAAGTCATAAAAACGCAAAACATAATGACAAAAATGACAACATAGCTCTTTTCGATTTAAAATCTATAACAATTTTAAAATATCTTTCCGTGGCTCGCCTTGAGCTCGCGAACACCAGCACCAATGACAAAGCGGTACGAATATACATACCTACAGTGCCTCCTCCATTTACCATCCGAAAGATTTTCGAACATCCGGTTGGTTTTATATCGTATATATCGGTCAATATGTGAGTTACGGATTTGTCGGAATATCCAACCCTGTTTGGATCGGCGAGTTCAAGGTTAAGTTTGTCATCACTGTAGTGGGCATGGTATCTTAAATCTTCTTCGTAAAGTTGGTCAAAACTCTGATTTAAACCACGTTTGCCCAATATAATGTTCTTTGATTCTCTGGTTGACTTTTTCCCCATACACCCCATATATTAAAGCCATTCTCAATTTAGCTTATTAGGAGGATTTTAATATAAATATCTCGGACATGAAGCAATATGTAATAATGAAACGATTAAAAAATTTGAAAAATTCTGTAATCGTTGGGAAGCTACACTCTCTTCGGCGAACACAGGCTATATTATATAATATATTCAAAAAAGTTAGGGATCCTTACTAAAAAAAAATTAAAATGATGATCCATAAAATATCATTATTTGTACCTTAGTATTAATGCTAATCAAAAGGAATTACTTCAAATTGAAGACTGTTTCAATACCTTTAGAAAAAATACCTCGAATTTAAAAATGTAAGTATTAGAAAAAAGTGGGTGCGGAATTGATTATAAATAATATTAAAAGTTCGATAGTCTATATGAGGTCCTCTTCCCCCAAGTGGAATGGCAAATGGAGTGATCTGCTAGTAATATAAGTACTTCATTTATAAGAATTATATGGTAGGGGCTTATTTGTATTATACGTTTTTGATTGATCTTGCCAAAGAATTGGTCAGTAAGTTAAATTTGTTAGGCACACCAGCCCTAAAATAATAATAACTAAAAATATCTCATTTATAGAAACTATATGGAAATCAAATTTTTTGTATTATATGTAATTATTTGATATATTGGAAGGCAATGATGTAAGTTCCATACCAATAAAACGTTAAGGTGTACTCTTTACTACTTTGTTCACTTTATAAAAAGGGTCGGTATAGCAGAGAAGAGTTTTAAGCTACTAGCAGTAATTAAGTGCCCAAACAGTCACCGACATTCCTCCCTTCCTTACTTACCGCCCGTATCAAACCAAATTTGTCAAAAGTTATGTCCTTAGTTGAAACGCAGAAATCAGTTGTTCTCTTGTGTTTTCATTTCACCAATGTTGCCATTGTTCTATTTGTATACACACATTTAGTTTTCTCGTTTTAATTTTTCTTAATGTAAAAGCTCAAAACTAAAATCCAACTATTAAAAATAGTTTACTTATTTATAAATAAGAATTTTCGACTGTGATTTTGAGTTACTTTAAGAATATTTTCAATATATTCAAGTTTATTTTTTAATTACTACAAAATATCGAGATTGGCAGCCCCGCGTTGCAAGAGACTGCTCTCTCATTTTCAGCTCACTCGTTTCTACGGGAAAAATGTAATTTTCGCGGATATCCTACCGTACGGTCTGTTGAAGCGGTGGTGACTGATCATTAAATTGCGCACTCATAAGATAGGTCGTATCAGCTGATTCGGGACACGGTTTTGTGTCGGTAACTGTTTGTGCAATCGTTGTTGTAAGAGGTAACAGAAATTCCCTTTGACGGTTGGTGGAGTTTCGAAATGTAGGAATTAAAAAGTAGTGGAGAGAGAACACCACTTTACATTTTTAACGCGAAACAATACGAATGATTGCTGACTGCGCAGATAATTCCGGGTACAACTTTTTAGCCCTTAGGAAGTAATGACGCCGTCTAGTTGCATTGTAAAGACCCGGGTTTGATCGCCGGAATGATAACGGATAAAATCCGGGTAAATTCCAGTAACGTAGAACCGATATTCATTTTAATGAATTATTATGTTTTTAGTGAATCTGGTTTTAATATGCCAATTAAAATTATCAATCAACCAAAATTCGCATGACTTGTCTTAATAAAAAAAGAGCAGTTATTTTATTTTGTCAAACACAGAGCAAGTTAGTATATGCATTTTAACAAGTGTCAAAGTATTCCAAACAAAATTTCACATTTACAAACATATGTAATTGCAGTTATTATTACTGTAATACGCCCTCAAAGGCTTAGCGACGATAAAGTCTTTTTTCGGCACTTACGAAAATAAAAATAAATATTAGATTATATTAGATAGACTAAATCTCTGACAAATGTGTCATAATTTTAAGGCACATTACTATTCTTAAGCATAATATGTTGATTAGAAAAAATCACAAATTAATAAGTGGCTGCGACTTGAGTAATTGTTCCGTTCTGTATATGAGCACGTCTTTCATTACCACTTGACGAAAATTTTCATGCAATTGTTCAAATGTACAATTCTTGTTTCGCAAAATATTCGCTATTGGGGAACATAATTCCAATACTGCTGGTGTGACTCTATTATTGTAGTCATTCTTGTTAGTCCTTTGTGCCGGTATTGGGGTGTTCCCAATAATTGGTCCTGTAAAACAAATAAAATTCATTTTGTAATTTATTAAAAACTCTCTAATAAAACTTATAAAATATACTGCAGATGTAGGAATGTAGGCAAATTAATGTATGTAAATCCCACACCTAAAATAAAAGCGTTAAATCTTAAAATCAGTGACTACTTATTACTTTTGTTAATACCAATTGTACTATTTTTAGTTATTTTATTTTGAGGAGCATTATTTGAAGTTATGACACTTTTAAGGAAAGAAAGAATACGATCGAAAACTCTCTAAAATAAAAAAGTTACATGTCCAATTATAATTCAAAATTATTTTTTGATTCCCCCGATCAAAATATGGAGTGAAACTTTTGCAAGCGGTTATTCCCTTTTATGAAACTCTGAATTTGGCTGTTATAGGTATTAGGTAAAGTAAAAGTTCGTTCGGTTTTTATCTAAGAGATGGCGTTATTATCCATAGTACTAGTGTTACGTGTCGCATCATGTCATACTATGCGGCGCTGAAAACGTGTTTATTCGCGCTAAAAGTTTGTCTTTGACAGTTTTTCGATTGATTGACTCAGTACGTTGTGAGCGCTCGTCAAAGATGGACACCAGCAAAGAGAAAATTCGCTATATTTTACAATTTTTCTTCGATCAAAGCAAAAAAGCAGCAAAAGCGGCTGAAAACATTAATTTAGTTTATGAGCCCGATAATGTAAACGAACGTATAGCACAAAAGTGATTTGCTTGGTTCCGTTCCGGTAAGTTCGATGTCAAAGATGCACCACGCGTCGGGAGGCCTGTCGTCGAAAATTGCGATAAAATCATGGAAATAGTGGAAACAGACCGTCACGTGAGCACTTATTTAATTGCTGAGGAACTAAAGATAAGCCAGAAAACCGTTTGGAACCATTTGCATAACCTTGGATTCAAAAAGGAGCTCGATGTTTGGGTGTCACACGAATTAACGCAAAAAACATGATAGACCGAATTTCCATCTGCAAATCGCTGCGGAATCGCAAGAAAATCGACCCGTTTCTGAAGCGGATTGTGACTGGCGTTGAAAAATGGGTCACTTATGACAACATCGAGCGCAAACGGTCGTGGTCAAAGCTCGGGGAAGCGGCCCAGATGAGGGCCAAGACCTGATTGACGGCCAGGAAGGTTTTGCTGGGTGTTTGGCTACTCCCCTATGGCCAAACGCTCAATTCGGCCCTCTACTGCCAACAACTGGACCGCTTGAAGGCAGCACTCATCCAGAAGAGGCCATCTTTGATCAACAGAGGCCGAATTGTGTTCCATCATATAACTTTACAGTCATTGAACAAACAGCATCATATATTTTCTTTGTGTTGAAAATGTCAAATTTTGTCCAGGAAAGTGATGATTTGCGGAAAGCATTAATTTTTTGTTTCCAGTTAAATACAACTGCAGTAGAGTCGTATCGAATGCTTGTCGAGGCATACAGTAAACATGCTCTATCAGAAGCAACATGCAAAAGATGGTTTCAACGGTTCAGAGATAATGATTTTGATGATCCTTCATTTTTCGGACGTGCAGGACCACCAAAAAAGTTTGAAGACGAAAATTGAATGAAAATGATACTTTGAGTCAAAAGCAAATAAGTGCCACATGAATTGAATGAAAAGCAAATGGAAAACTGAAAAAACACTTATGAAATTTTGCTTCAAATTGTCACTGGCGATGAAAAATGAATTTATTTTAAGAATCTTAAACGGAGAAAATCATGGGTTAATCCAGGACAACCATCATAACATACATATACATAAGAAAAGAAATTTTAATTCCATCACTTTACAATATACAAATCATATATCAATGAAATTATCGAAATAAAGCATTGCGCAAATAATCAAAGTATAAATTTTCACACCTAAAAACGATCGGAATCAATTAACATATCAACAGATACCGAATATAAGGACCTCAGTGCCTATGGCTGACTTTTTACCGAAAATATCGGTCAATCTGTGAGTTACCTTAATAAAATGTAGAGAGCTTATAATATGTCGTGTTGTCAAAAATGGAAAACATCGGTTCCATACTTCCTCTAACCCACATAGGGGCCGTCCATAAATTACGTCATCGATTTTTTCAGATTTTTGAACCCCGCCCTATAATCATCCTATCGTCATTTCTTAATGACACCGCCCTTTTCCCAAAATTGACGTCATTACTGGTTTGACAAAATAAAACATTGCAGATTTGAGAAAAATAGGGTATTATATGATTTAAACACTTGGTTATAGAATCACCTTTTATTATTATAGGTACTACTAGGCAATAATCATTGATATAATTTTTTTGGGTCAAATTCACTCTTCAGTTTACGCCATATTTCATCGCGAAGCTTTTGTGCGGCTTGAGGGGTTTTATCAAAATATCGTCTCTTCACAGCAGAAAACAATCGCTGGTGGACCTTTTTTAAGTCAATAACCATCGCGGATCGACTATAGTAATAAATAGCAGTGAAAATAGTGTTCTGATTTTGTTATTTAACGAATTTGCGTTAAACGCGTGATGGAAAAATCTGCGCGGATAAACGTGTTGCATCGTTCACGTTCGTACTCAGATTGACAGCGAGCGCAGGCCGCAGGTCCGCAGCGGTGGCGGTGCGCGCCAAAGACAAAGGAAGCCGACTTTCTTTGAACAGCGCCGATTTCTTTTATTCTCCGAGTCGCCGCCAATCTTTGTTTAATAAACAAAGTGTCGCATACAAACTATTTTCATAGGTACGATGTTATTTATAGTTTAAAAAAATAATGTAGACATGCCTTGACCTTGTAATAAATAAATAAATAAATAATGAGTTCAATAATTAATACCATTAAATACTTGCAAAATATCACAAGAACATTATCTTTCCTTAGTATGAGACATGTATTTAGTATAGTATTAATATGTACTTTTATTAATTATGTAATGTTGTAGTTATTATTTAAGTATTGTGTTTATTAGTATGCTTAGATCTTTAAAACTACGCAACAAATTTTGATGCGGTTTTTTTTAAATAGATAGACTGATTCTTAAAGAAGGTTTATATGTATAATACATGTAAGTACCACGGGCGAAGCCGGGGCGGGCAGCTAGTATTTTACTGGGTGTGCTGGAAGAAATTTCTTTTTAGAAGTAATCTTTTTGTACGTGAAAAATAAACTATAAATAAATAAATAAGAATGACGTCAATATAGAAACCCCCCCCATCTATCATTTACCGTCATCCGCAGACCAACAACCACGGGTCGCTGGTACCATAAACTACATATATATACAATATATATATATATATATATATATGCATAATGATTTTTGTTATTCTCGCGACTTTATGCCGAAGATGTCGGTCAGTGTGTGTGTTTTATCTTGCATGAAAACATGTTCCCGAATATACTTGAATAATGCTGAAAGTTAACGCAATTAGTCCAGACTTTCCCCTAGCCCAAATACACCCGATACGATTTCCGACTTTCTAGCGGACTTTAAACTGTTTATGAATTAATTCGGTCTAGACCTATACTGACTTCCATTTCAATGGTTGATTTTTCCTCATATACCCAATATATATATATTTGATTGAGTTTATATCACATTTATCTCATTTAAGTTAACTACGTTGATTTTAATACCAATATCTCGGATATGAACCAAAATATAGAAATGATACTAAGTAAGTCTACGACATATAATATTATATAAATTAATAAGATACCAAACATGATTGTAATCCATTTCCCTATCGTCGAATAATGAATGTTGAATTCTTTTAGGACATATTTTAATATAAAGTTTCGTAACACCTGGCTTTATTATTTGCAAATTGCGAGAGTATAAAATGTTCGGTTATACCCGAACTAAACCCTTTTTCACTTTTCTAAAAAAGTTTTGTCACGCTTGAAGATGTTTCCCTGGCAAATAGCGCGAGTATAAAATGATCGGTTATTTCTATTGAAGCATTCATATTAATAATGGTAATAATTGTGCCTAATTACTCTTATAAAATAATTTTACAGATTTTTAAAAATGCCAATATAAATTCTTTAAAAAACCGAGTTATTTAACCAACAAAAATTTAGTAATTTCACGACCAGTGTACAAATTAATTCAAATCTACAAACCGATTTTTAATTCTAGTAAACGTAATTGTTTTCTATTTCTTCTACTTTTAACAGTGCTTCACTAAACTACATGGTAGTTCGATCTGAACAAATTCTATGGAGATTGTACCGTTGCCTTGGATAATAATCCATGTAAAATTTCGTCAAATAAAAAAAATGTTCATACAAGGACATGTATTTGATCGTTCAGTTTGTATGCCATAATGGTTCGATATCGGCAGTTCCGACAAATGAGCTCTTGAGGAAAAAGAAGTGTGCAAAATTTCAGATCGATAGCTCAAAAACTGAGAAATTAGTTCGCGTATATACAGGCAAACATGGCTAAATATACTCAGCTCATCATGCTAATCATCTATCTATATATACTTGTACATATAAAACATGTCTGTATGTCCTTTACAGATTCATTATTCTTGGAAACAAAAATCCACCACAACTTTGCAGCGGAACCAGACTCTCAGTCAAAAAAAATTATGAACAATGTTATCAAGGCAACAATTTTGACTGGAAAATTCAAGGGTGAAGACGTACTGTTAGGACTATCAACAAAGTACAGGGGCAGTCGTTGCAAGTGTGTGGTGTAAATTTGGCGAATCCATGCATCCTACATGGGCAGCTCTATGTTCCCTGCTCATGCGTCGGAAAACCTTCTTATTTATTCGTTTACGCACCAGATGGAAATATTACTGCCATGCCAACGAAATGTTGCCATGTCACAACTTTTTCAAAATGAACAAAATCAATCAAAAGATTTCAAATGAATTGAATAGTTGTGTAATGTCTTTACTTCAACTTTATTTTATTTGGTGGCGTAGCAACGCATACAGCTAGTTTATTTATATATTATATATTACACGGTCTCCGACGTTTCTTTTTAGGCGTTATAAACAT